TTCGTAGTTTTTATACGAACAAAGATAGACTGGTAAACTTAATTCGAGACTTTAAGTTGGACATAGTGTGCTTAAATGAAACATTTCTAAAGTATAATCAAATATCTATTATTCGAGGTTTTGACTGTATAAGACACGACAGGTATGATGGGTACGGGGGAGTAGCCATACTTATTCATAATAACATTCCGTTTAATCGAATAATCCTAACAAATATATTATTACCTGACTCTTGGCAAATTGTAGTAATAGAATTACCTCCTTTAATTCTTATTAGTATTTACATAACCCCTGACACAGTTTTATCTAGTAACATTCTTGATAATGTGTTCACTTTCATTAGGGCAAAATCACATAAACCAATTGTTTTAATAGCGAATCTTAATACTCAACATACGGCCTGGGGCTCTGGTTATTGTAACAGGAATGGTTTAACTCTTGAAAAGTTTCTAGATGACTACGGCTTGTCATACTCAATGATGACACTCCCACTAGAATTATTCGTCCAGATGTAAGAGCTAGTACTCCCGACGTATGTATCTGTCCTCTGGAACTGGCTACTAAATCAAATTGGCAAGTTATATATGATTCTGGGACCAGTGACCACCTTCCTTGCCTTGCACACTTTAGTAATGGAGATAAAGGAAAAATAGACCATAGTAGAACAACTCTTGGGCGATTTAATAATAAAAGAGCTAATTGGCCACTATCTACATCAACCATAGAAGCTGAATTTAATACTATAGACAGAACATACGATGAATTTTCTAAAATCATAATTTCGGGTGCAAAGATGACAATTCCATTAAAAAAATGTAAAAAGGTTGGTTAACCTAATGTTTGGTGGGATGATGCTTGTACAGTAGCAATTCAAGCACGCAAGGAGGCCCTTCGACAATACAAAGAAAATGCAACGATTGAGAACTTCGTGGAATTTAAAAAAACTCGAGCAAGGACAAGAAGAATACTAAGAGAACAGAAAATGCAAAATTTTCAGGAATTTTGCTCTAGCTTATCTCCGAATAAAAAGGTATCAGAGATATGGAATGTGGTAAAGCTTTTTCTAATTCACAAAAACAATATCGTCGATGTCCACCTCTCAATTCTAACATTGGCCCTTTATTATTACAAAAGCTTACTGATAATATTGATCAGGATAACATATCTGAAATAATGTTTTGTGAAAACAAGTAAACCTTCCACTTTAGATGAAATTAATTCTGTTCTCCAGGAGAAAAAGGACACGGCTCCAGGTTTAGATAACATATCAAATAGTATGCTACCCCACCTTCCTTTAAGTGGTCTGGAATATTTATTAAATATATATAATAGAGTTTTAACAAATTTAGTACCTATTCCTCAAGAGTGAAAATCTCAACTGGTGACGCCTGTATCCAAGCCTGGAAAAGATATTAGTTCTACGGAAGGTTGGAGACCTATTAACCTTTCCTCCTGTCCCGGTAAATTATTTGAATCATTAATTAAAAACAGAATAGAGTGGCATTTAGAAAATAAAAGCCTGCTTAATTCAAAACAGTCAGGTTTTCGACTAGGAAGAGGAATTCAGGATAACTTAACGACTTTGTATTCATTAATTGCTACAAACCTAACTGACAGAGATGATGCTGTAGTAGCTCTGCTTGATATATCATCAGCTTATGACAATTTAAATATTTCAAAATTATTTAAAAGGTTAGCGGAATACACACTCCCGGAGGATATTTGTAAAATTTGCATTTCCTTATTGTCGCAGTGAAGCATTATCGTTTTGGATCCGTTATCTGGCAATATCATGGACTCACAAATAAGGGAGTTCCTCAGGGATCCTCTTTAAGCCCGATATTATTTAATATATATTGTGACCCTCTTAAAACAGTGATTTCCAAGAATTTAACTCTACTCGGTTATGCAGATGATTTTATTCTAATTTGCACTGGTCATAATCGGAAAAAGATGATCAATGATGTTAATGAGTCACTTAAAAATATTAAATCATATTTGGAGGAAAATGGACTACAATTATCTCCCTCAAAATGTATGTTTTAAAAATAAAGGTAAACCCAACCCGTTAGATTACATTAAAATTAATGGAAACAAAATTCCCTGGAAAAATGAAATTAAATACTTAGGAGTTACTTTTCAACATAATTTGAATTGGAAGCCACATGTAGAGTACATATGTGGCAAAGCACTAAAAGGCATTAACTTAATGAAATGCTTATGCCGTACATGGTGGGGTGCCCACCCATCTACTCTTCTTATGATTTATAAAGCCTTGGTGGTTCTAAGTCATCTAGATTTTGGAAGTTTTCTTTTCGGCCGTTGTTCGCAAGAGCTCTTGAAACGATTAGATAAAATGCAATATCAAGCTATTCGTGTAGTATTAGGTATGATGCGCTCAACACCAACTAATATATTGCTATCTGAAAGTGGAGAGTCAACCTTAAAGTCTCGAAGGAGCTCGTTAGCACTAAAATACGTAAGATTTCATCCTATAAAAATTCACGAATGCTTGAGAGACGTCCAGTTTTGGCCTGCCAATAAAATTGCACCAATTATGGAAGCGTTCCATGCTATTAGGCCTTTTCTTCAAGAAATTCATTTTTTAGATACCTTTCCGTGCTTTCAATTTCCCATAGAAATTCAGGTTACGACTATTCCTTTTATGGAATTAAATTTAGATAAATGTACATTCAATAAGCAAAATTTTATAATAGAAGCCAAGTCAAAATTTCCCAACTATACATTTTTATTTACTGATGGATTCAAAGATCGGCAGGGCAAAACTGGCGCTGGTATCTTTTCTACAAATTTAATTGCCAAATCTTTTCGACTTCCAAATTTCTTTTCAATCTGTTCGGCCGAAATATATGCAATTAAAGAAGCGGTTATATTTATTATAACTGAGAATATTAGGAAGGCAGTTATTTTCAGCGACTCTAAAAGTGCTCTCCAAAAAATATCCAGTAATTGCATATCGAGTAAAATGGACTATTTAACATTAGAAACAAAACACAGTTTATTTAATGCAAAGAGTTTGGGGATAGATATTTGTCTAGCATGGATTCCTAGTCACTGCGGAATAACTGGAAATGAGGAAGTTGATGAACTGGTCAAAAAAGGCCGACTGCAAGTATTAAATATTAATGCCAGGGTGCATCATAGTGAACCCTTGCCTTTTTTTAAATCCAATACATGGAAAAAATGGGAGGAGGAATATAAAGTGATATGTCAATTTCAAGGGAAACTATATGAAGAAATTATTCAAATTCTATTAAAGAGACCGTGGTTTGCAAAAATAAAAAATTTGAATAGAAGGGATATAAGTACCGTATGCAGATTATGAAGCGGTCATTTTTTAAGTATGGTGCATCTAAAGAAAATAGGTGTAAAAGAAAATGATAGGTGTACGTGTGGAGAACGGGAGGATTAACAACATATTTTTTTTAATTGTCACAATAATTTTTATAATATTTATACATTTTTAGATATTTTAGATATTTTAGATATTCCAAAAAATTTTATAAAACATGTTACACTTTTTGATGTATTGTTTAAACTTCTGTCTTTCGGTAATGTTAAAAAAATATCAAAATTTATACAAATGTCTAAAATTAAGCTGTAAAATATTGTAATTATTTACCTGTTGTTACCAAATGGCTGTATCATCTTAGCTATGTAGGCCAATAAATTATAAAAAAAAATATGTCTGGGATAATACATCAGACAGTGCCGAAAGCCAAGTTTACTTCTTGTGTTTTATTTTAATTATAGTTGCTACTCAATTATTAGTAAAAGCTTATTATGTGAACTTATTATGTGAATGGGAAAACATTGAGATAAGTTATGTTTTATTGTAGTATTTCTCTGAAAATTAATAACAATCGCCCAATTGTAACATGTCAGGTTATGATATTTTTAAATAATCAATTATCTTGTTCACTAAACAAACAGGTGCCTCACGAGAACCTTTTATATTAAAATCTGCATTAATTACTTTATTACTAGGTATAAAACTTTATAATACTCAATTTTTTTTTTTTTTTTTTTTCAGAATTTGCAAATACGAGGTTTTGTACCATTACTTTCGAAATTTTGGATAAATCTAAATTGGGGCCTAGACGAACTTCCAGAGGCAGATATTTGGTAGAATTGGCTGCTTTAAGTTTCCAGACTTCTGAGGACTCTGAGGCTGTAGAAAATGTGGCAAATAATATGCAGGGAAAGGAAGACTATCAAGGAAAATGTCCAAGCTCTGTGAACCTAGATGAAATTCCAATAATTTTTTTACCTGATGATGGAAGTTTTTCATTACAAACTGAAATTGCAGAGTTAGAGAATCTTGGCAATCTACCAGAAGCAAACAGAAATCAGTTCTTAGACAGTTATTTATATCCAGAAATAAATGTTCCAGAAATTCAAAATCATAATGACGATATCGTAAATACTGGCAACAATAAGACCGCCACAGGCCAGGAAGTTAATAACAATGGAGCAGAGATTATGGGCGTGACAGAAAATGATGAAAAGATGGTAGTTGAGGATTATTCCAGCTTAGCATTACAGAAATATACTCCAAATCAGGAAATCAATCTGTTGGAAAGAGTTTTGTCGGGCTCGGAAATGTCAGATAACAGCTTAATAGATCCAGATTTTGTAGAAACATCCGAGAGCTCCAGTTCAGAAAACACCGAAAATAATGTAGTAGAAGGAGAAATACAACAAAAAGCACATGACGAAAATAGGACATTTAAGCGAAAGTTACCTCAAACGAGAAGAGCCAGAGATCAAAACAAAAGATCTAGAATGCATGGCGAAGAGTATTTAGGCCTTAAAACGGACACTTCAAATTAATGGCTCAGAAAAATGAACGTTCTTTGAAACCTGGATGTTACTCTCAGAAATGCAGAACTACGAAATCCATATTTTGTAATGAATTCAAAGAAGATGAAAGAAAACAAATTTTCAAGTTATTTTGGGAGCTGACATGGGATATGACAATGGTCGATGTGATCCCCAGCAGACGAAAAGTGAAAGGATCCAGAAGAAGTGGTACTCTTCACTACTATTTGAAAAAAGGAACAGAGAAAAAGAAGGTCTGCAAGATGTTTTTGTCAACATTAAATGTAGGAGAATGGATGGTTAGACAGTACGCTAAAAAAGACAATGGAATGAACATGCCTGCAGGAAATATACAAACTCCTGGTGGAAACAGAAAAAGTACAGATGGTTCAAGATTGGTTCTGAGAAAGTTTCTTTTAGACATCCCTAAAATGGAATCGCATTATTGTCGTGCTAGAACAAATAAGTTATATTTGGAGCCAGTTTTTAAAAATAAAGCAGAATTTTACAGAGAGTATAAAAACTATTGCCTAAGTAGTCAGAAAGGCTTTCTTTTAATAACAGTGTTCATAGAATAGATGGAGAGAGCCAATATCAAAATTTTTAAGCCAAGAAAGGACCAATGCCATTTGTGTATTTCCCATCAGTTGAAAAATATTTTAGATGACGAATATTTAAAGCACCAGCAAAAAATTTCGAAAAATAAAGATAAAGACAAAGCCATTAGTAACCCCAAAGGTATAGCTGCTTTTTGTGTAGATGTACAAGCAGTGAAATTATCTCCAGTTCTCCAAGCCAGTGCAATTTATTACAAACCAAAGCTTTAGGTTCATAATTATACAATTTACAACATTAAGGATGTAATCTGGTACCTTTAGGACGAATCTCAAGGAGGACTGGAGGCTAATATTTTTTTCACTATATTGTCAGAATTTTTCTCCAATTATCTCTTGGAAAATAATTTAACAAAGAATTCATAATCTATAGCGATGGATGTGGTTATCAAAATAAGAATGCCACACTTTCAAATGCTCTCCTCCATTTTGCCATAAAAGATAAAGTTACTATTACTCATAATTATCTTCAGAAGGGACACACTCAGATGGAGGTTGACTCTGTCCATAGTACAGATGAAAGGCGGCTTAAAAATCATGATATTTACTTGCCTCACGACTACATTGCAGTTTGTAAGGAATCAAGAAGAGAACAACCATACAACCTTACACGGACTTCAAGGATTTTAAAAATATCCAGATCTATCCATCTGTCAGACCAGGTCGTAAGCCTGGCGAGCCTTTGGTCACTGATATGTGTTCCTATAAATACTCACCAACTGGAGAAATATTATACAAAATTAATTATAGAAATAGTTACGAAGCATTACCAAAGAGAACGACTGGCAGCAATAAAATATCCATGCATATTCCGTTGTTATACAAATCCCAGCCAAAAATTAAAAAAGAGAAATATGACCATTTGCAAAGTTTAAAAATCGTTCTTGACAAAAAGTTTTGGGATTTTTATGATAATTTGCCTCATTGACATTATTGCCAATGAGGTAAATTATCATAAAAATCCCCAATCCCAATGAAAAATCTTGTTTTGTAAGAATAAATGTTTAGGATTTTCATTCCGTTCGTTTAATGTTTTTTTGTTTAATAAACGTACTTTTTGATTTAATACAATATTTTATTAAATTGAATCCAAGTTAAAACACTGTAAGTACAGATGCTCGTATCCGGAAAAAATATATATAATTGTTGCACAAAACCTCGTATGTGACTATTGAAAAAATATAGATGAAATAGACAAAAATCAAAAAGTGAAATCATTAATATCATAATATAATATACAGTTCTGAAAAATTTGCCAAAAAAGTCTTGCATCTAACTTAAGGATGTTATTTCTATTTCCTTTAAAATTTTGTGAGATACATATACGAGGTTTTGCACTTTCACCGACGATATGATAGAGTTAAAAATGCTCTGCTAAATTATTATCCAAATTGAAAAGCAAACTGTTACTATTAAAAACAAATCGAACAGCTCGGTAGTTTATAATTCATTCTGACCCTTTATTTTAAGTTTGATTTTTGTCAAATTTTCAGGAAATACCAATAATAACAAAACTTAAGGTGGAGAAACCTTGAATTTTTTTGTAAAGTTGAGTTGCAAGGTTGAGTATACGTATAATTGCGAAGGATGTCAAGAATAGCACTTCTGGATTCATGTTAAATACTTACAAACTAATCTGAAATAGAAATATAATACAGAATACGTCATTTTAGTAATAATTTAATTATTGTTCCACTGACAATTAAAGTGACAATAGATTTTTTGAGTCCGTTTTGCTCGTTTTGTTTACTTTAATTATGTCGTTTTTCACTTTCATAAATATATTCCTAAAGTAAGTAGATAACATGCGTCAAATATACAATTGTTTAGTTACCAATTACATACCTTTAAACTATTTTTTATGACCTGAAATCAATATTTCAATCACTATTTGAGAAACCCCATAAGTCACGAAAAGAAAGTTTTAGAAAATCAATAAAAACTGTATAATTTGGGATCCGGACAGTTTTTCGAATGATAATGATTCGAACGACAGTTCTTCGAACGACATTTATTCGAATGGACAGTTATTCGAAAAGATATTCGAACTGATAATTTTTCGAATGTACGATTCTTCGAATAGACAATTTTTCGAAATAAGTTGGTTTTATTTTATATAATTTAATTTTGACATTTTGACATTGTATTCAGTCTGATTTTAGTGTCTATAAAGATGCCTCTCGAATTCCTTTTTAGTGAAAAAGGAAAAAAAAAGTTATTTTTGAACGGATTTTTATTCGTTAAAGACAAAGCCGTTGATGAAAAAACATATTGGAAGTGCGAGTGATGATGATGTTTGCAAAGAGAATTCTCACAACCACCCCGCGGATGCAGCAGAAGTAGATGCCATACGTTTTAAGAATAAACTGAAGGACAATGCTCGGACAACAAGAAACACTCCACACTACCTTGTATCGGCACTATCAAGTGAAGTGGACAAACTAACAGCAGCCAAACTAAGTAAAGTAAATAGTTTAAAGCGAACAATACGCAGGGAAAGAGTGAAAGAAAACATGGAACCCACACAGCCGAAAAGTCTAGAGGAGTTGTATCTACCTGATTCTTTTAAAACCACCACAAAAGGCGAACCATTTCTACTTTTCGATTCTGGCAACATTAAACAAAGAATTCAGATTTTCAGTACGAAAGACAACCTGGATTATCTACAAAAAGCTGAATACATATACATGGATGGAACTTTTAAGACTGCACCTATGCTTTTTTATCAGCTCTACACCATACATACATTTATAAACGAGGAATCCGTACCACTGGTATACGCACTTCTACCTGATAAATCAAAAGACACTTACATAAAGTTAATTCCGGCCCTTAAAGATCTAGCACCAGATCTCAGACCGCAATCGGTTCTAATAGATTTTGAAGCAGCGATGATAGGAGCGATACATCAAGAATTTCCGAATGCAACTGTACAAGGATGTTTCTTCCACTTTTCACAGGCAATTTACAGAAAAATTCAAACAGCTGGCTTTGAACAGCGATATGATACCGGCAAAAACTTTGCACAGCACATGAAGATTTTAGCTGCATTAGCTTTCGTACCTACAAAATACATACAGCCATTTTTTAATGCATTAAGCGATGATTTTCCAGAAGAAGCTACCGAGGTTCTGGACTACTTTGAGGAAACATGGATTGGGATGATTCGTCGCGGTCGTCGAAGGTCACCGTTGTTTGATTGGGAAATGTGGAACTGTGTTAATAATGTTTTAAACAGTCAACTCAAGACTAACAACCACATTGAAGGTTGGCATCTTGCCTTCCAAAGCCAACTTTCGGCTAGCCATCCCACAATATGGAAGTTTATTACCGCGATTCAACGCGAACAATCCTTAACTGAAATGAGAATTTCTCAATTTTACTGTGGAACTCCCGCTGTGCCGAAGAAAACGAAGTACTTACAATTAAATATTAGATTACAAAATATTATCACTCAGTTTTCTCCTAAAGACCCTATAGAATACTTAAATCGTATAGCTTGTAATTTGTCTTATAAATAAGTTCCTCGTTTCTTTTGTTATATAGTGTATTATAAATAAGTCATGTATTAAAAAGAATTAATTGGAATAAAATCATTATTTTTATACAAAACGCTTTTTATTTTTGACGTTTTGGTGTCGCACCTGTGTCAGGTTATCAAAAAATTAAATAAAAAAAATAAATTATCTAAATTGAATTTCAGGTGCGACACCGAATGTTTTTTGTTTAAATTACCTACACTTTATCATTCCTCAATAATGTATTTTCGAAAAATTCAAAATTAATAAACCATGGATACTTTGGTACCTGCAGAACAACTTTGAAGTAGTACTCTTTGTGGCCTTCATGTCATTGATTAATTCGCTCTGGTTCGTTGTTTTCCATTCAACTACTATTGGTGGCATGGTATTTTGTTTTACTGTTTTTTGGTTAGGATTGTTTTTAACTGTGTTGGTTTTTCTGTTGTCTGCAGTTTCGGAGGCTGTTGTGATTTCATCGGTGCTGAGGTTCTGTATTTGTTTTTTGTTTTTCTTCATGTTCTACACTCTCCTTTATTTCTTTTTTCTGTTTTTTACGATTCGCATAATTTCGTCATCATCACTGTCTGACGAGTCTGTAAGGGTGTGGAATTTATTACTGGTGGAAATAATAGTACTTTATGCCTTTCTTTTATCAATTTTTTGAAGTTTGCGCCGAATTTTCGGAGCCCTTGGAATTTTCCACCGTTTTCCTGGTCTGTTTACATGATTTCTTCATTTTGCACTTTTTTTCTTAATAAGAAAGTGCTGTTTGGTGTGATTGGTAGTTGCAATGGAGAGCTGATGCACCTTTCTTCTTCTCTGAGGTAATTTCTCCTGCTTTATATTGCATTATGGAGTTTTGCACCACTAGGGGGGTGTCCGAAGCGTTCACATGTAAAACGTCTTAGGAACGTCTTTGAACTTTTACATTAATACGTCTGAATTATGGCTTTCGCCAAACGTCTTATAAGACGTCTTAATAACGTCTTAGATCCAGTTTCCCGGGCCCTTCTATTGTTGCTGAAATAGAGTGCGACAATTTCAATTCGTTCTGCTGTGCTGTACCATGATCTGGATGGTTGCTTCAAGATAGCGAATAATAACAAATAAATGAATGTCTCTACACTAGATTCACTAGACAATAATAATTGTGATTAGTGTAAAATCAGAATACAAGCTGTAAAACCGTAAAAATAAATCAGTCACATTATCAAGGCTTTACTGATAAAAACTTAATGTTTTGTAGTTGAGTTCTTCGATATTTCAGAGAAACTCCCAACAGGTGTTTTAGATTAATTTTAACACATAACAAAAAAAATGTTAGCATGTTTGAAAAGAGGATTGAAATATCTTTAAAATGATGTGCCACTTGACCCCCAGTGCCATTTTGTATTCTTGAAGAGGTTGACACACCGTTCAGGGGGATAAAGCTACATCCATGAA